CTGTGTAGAAAATTTCATCGCGATTAGACTCTCCTTTCAAAAGTTATCGTGTTAACCGCCGGCCGGACGGACACACTGACCGATTCTAGAGTGTACTCACTTTTTGAGTACACAAAAATAGAAGGAAAATACAGTTGTCCACCATAAAAGACATTGATCGACCACTACACTACATCTATCAGTCTATATATATATGTATAAATGCCTTTCTAAATTTTTTTTCTTTCACATTCTTAATCGTTCTACTTGTCTACCATCATTCACATGAGTCAAAAAGTTCCCACAGTATCAAATTCATCTGTAAGTAATCCACTTTTTTCTACAGTTCAAAGTTAGATCAATACAAAAAGTAGAATACAATCAAACTATATTTTATTTATTTCGCTTTAGTTTTTTCTTGTCTTAGAGTTCAGTCTTTTGTGCATGAGACAGACATTAGAATAGAGTAAATATTGACTTTTTCACCGCTTAATATCGCTCAGTTAATGACCTGAGTTATTTATCTCGTTGACTCTAATACATAAGAATCTCATATTCTTACTACTCTGAACAGTACCATGTTGTGTGTAATTTATAGTATTAGTTGTGCTCCCATTTTGTCCAATGGTTTTTATCGATGTCGCGATTAGCAATGTGCAGAGAAAATTACAGTAATATATATTACAAATGACAGCAAATGGAAGGTGTGCTGTACGAGAACATATAATAGCATTTGTCTTTGGATACAGAAGAATTTTGCGTTAAATTTATCGTCACTAGGGATCATGTATTGTAACAGATGAACGTATAATATTGAGTTAGTATCATAAAGTACTTGTTTTTTTTTTGTTTGTTTTAGACAAGCGATGAAAGTGACACTGGCTTACTTAAAACAAGAGATACTAAATCACGTCAAACAACATGGCCTCAAACATGTTATACAACAGATAGTCAACCATATCATACAAGAAATAAAAAACCAAGGCATTCAACAAATAATGAACCATGTCGATATCATCGTTGTTATGCGAATGATGGTCAGTAAAATATCATTTTTTATATCAATTAAGTTGTACTTTTAGGTCGTTCAAATGTAACAATGCCAACAGGCTTATTGTTAATTACATTATTAGCAACATTTATATTAGGTTATTGTATCGGTAGGGTCGCTTAAATCTTACCAAAATCATTTTATTTTGAACATATCGCACTGCAATATCCATTGCTTTTTCATTTTAGGCATATCATCCGTATGTATATTATTATTTGGATTTTTTCTTCAGCGGTTTACCTAAATATTCTTAAGATTTCTTTCTTCAATTTGTCAATTTCTTTCTTTCTTTTTTTGTCTTCATATATCTGATGTTAATAAAATTATTTTCTAAACTTTATATGCTGATTATTGTAACTGATTAGCCCAGAAAGCAAAAAATTGTGTCAGAACTACCATACTTATTATATTTTGGGATACAATAACTTGTTTAATTTTATTTTTCTCGTAAAAAATTGAATAATCTTTATCAAACCATGCAAGAAAATATTGATCATATAAATCATATAAATATCAGAATTCTTCTAATCATGTAAATAAACTTTAAAAGCTATATAAATGAACGTAATTATGCTTATTTGAATTTGTTGCTAA